GTCTACTTGCCGCCCGTCGCCCGTCCCGCTGTGACGCCGGCCGGCTTGTTCGTGACAGGAGAACATTCTGATGAGGATCCACTTCCACATCGCCGACGAGTCCAAAGAAGACATCTGCACGGCCAGGCATTGCATCCCGCACCAGAAGTTCGCCATGATGCTCTTCGAACAGGTACCGCCGACTCGTCACACGAATAAAACGAACACCCGTCACTGTGATGACAGGAAGGGCTTAGATCAGCGGGCTTGTCGGCACCTTGAAAAAGTGGCGCTTTCAAAACTCGGGCGGCTCGATGGGACAAGACTTCCGGATACAATATCACTTTTGCGAGAGCGTATTTGAATTAGCGCAGCCATTTATTTATTTTTTTTTTAAATTTCATTGCGTTTACATGACAACAATCCAACCTCCATATCATTCACATACTGGAAGTAATGCACAGATGAAAGTAATGCACTTTGTGTGTGTTCCGTTGTGCTTGTGTGTGCGTCCAAAGTGTGTGTGCAGCAGCTGCGGCGCATCTTCGGACCCGCTGCCCTTTATTCAGATGGTCCATTACATCTCCACCACCTCCCTTTGGTAAGTCCCATCACGCACGCGTTGCCGTCGGAACTTCACAGCCGACAGTCGCCGGAACGGGTCGTACTTTTCTCCCTGCGACAATGCGGACGTGTTTTTCAAAGCTCCTCAAGCGCCATCTTGCTCACCCAAGCATACAAGTCAATGTCAGGAGTACACAAACGCGCCCGTACACCCGGCCGTTATCACGGGACACTTTCCTCGAGACACGCCTCGTGCCTTTGCAAGTAGGCATTGTTGACTGATAAACTGAAAAAAAACCCTCTACGGGCTCTTTATTCATCTTACTCGGACCGGCGTTATTGATCATTTGTTTGATTGAGTCGATTTAGAAGATGTCGTCAGGAAAAACAGTCACTTTGCCCAAGAAACAGGAAAAAGGGAACTCTGAAAATGTGCGCCCGAGCGCCACACCATCGCCATGCGATACGATTTGCGTAACCGAGTAGGCCCGACCACGCGTCCGACTTGTCGTGTTCCTCAGTAACCAGGCGGTGAAGATGCTGGAGTCCCGACAGAACGCCACCCCGGCAATGTTCGGGGAGCTGCTGCGGAAGGCCAGCATGGGCGACCTGCGCGATTGTCCCGTAAGCGACCCGGCACGGCTCGAAGCAAACGACACCTTGCGCAGCCCGCTCCAACACCCCGCCCCCACTCCCTCCCACCCCAGAGTCAGTGTGGCCAGCAGCTGCGGATGGCTCGCGTCCTCCTGAACAGTCCGGAGATCATCACCATCGGCCTGGTGTGGGACTCGGAGCACTCCAACCTGGCCGAGGACGTCATCCACACCTTGGGAACGTGCCTGCGCCTGGGAGACGTAAGTGCGCTCCATCGTGACGCAAACGTCTCACCTAACAACGGTGACGCAGAAGCAACTCTGCGGTGCTGCAAGAGAAGCGGAAGGCCGCATTTCACTGACAGTATGATGGGAGGAGATACAAAAAAAAACTCCAGCAGAAATCCTTGAAGGAAGTAGAAAGTCTGAAGTCACGGCAGAGCACCGCATCTAATTTTTAATGAAAATGGGACGCGCGCCCGGCGCGCAGTTGTTTTACAGAGTGACGGAGGAGAAGGCCCGCCAGGCGGAGCTCTACCTAGTGGGCGTGGTGTGTTACTACGGCCGCCACTACTCCACCTTCTTCTTCCAAACCAAAATACGACGCTGGATGTACTTTGACGACGCGCACGTCAAGGAGGTTTGCTCTCTTCTCATTTGACTTTCGTCCTTCTCATGTTTCCGATCACATTCCTCATCGTTTGTCTTCCTCGCTCGCGACCACTCGGCGCCCCATCGCATGACCTCGCGAGAACGCCTTGCAGGGTGCGTTTGCGTGCCCGCGCGCCACCGCTGAGCTTCCATTTTCTCTAGCGCTTGTCCGTTGGAGGGTCTCGGGCGAGTCAATGTCGAGTCCCGTAGAGGCAAAGAGCGGACTGGTCTCCGGTCTGGCCAGGCGGAGGTCATTCTGTCATTCGAGCAGCCGCTACAGCAGCACATGCAAACAGAGCATCGAACAAGCCAATTTGCTCAAATCTATTCTGTCAGCTCTGCGGGAGCGACGACTACTCTTGGAGTGAGCAAACGCACCAATGAGCTCATCTCCCCCTCCTGGCCCAACCCGGAAACTCTTTCCACGACTTTCTATTTGTCGTCTTTTTTTTCCTCAAACGTTGGTCTTCTGCCGCTCTCATCCAATGACATTCCCCCGCCCCCTCGCCCACAGCTGCTTGTGAAAACACGGATTTCCCTCCATTGTTTATCGCTCCAGCTGGACGCAGGCGAGGGTGTGGTCACAACACACACACACACACACACACACACTGATGTGCGAGTTTTGCCCACCCTGCAATCTTTTTCTGTCTGTCTGTCTGTCTTCTCTCTGCCTCACTCGCACTCGTGCGTTTACCAACAAGCTTTGCGAACAGCCCGTTGGAGAAGTTCTTTTCCGGGGGGTGCGGGTGGTGGAAACGGACGCTGGGTTAAAATAACAAGTCGCAGTTTCACTCTTGAAGGAAAAAAAAAAAGCGGACAGGAACCGAACCAGCTGGTACGTTTTTCGGCTGCCGTGTTGCCGTTTTTCCGAGTCAGATGGCGCATCTTTGCTGAGTGAGGTGAGCGAGCGAGTGCGTGCGTGCGTGCGTGCGGTGTGTGCGCTTGTTCATCGGCTTCTGGCGCCGTCCTCTGCAATGGACGCTTTTTGCTGCTGCTCAGACCGGGCTGTCAAACGTGTTTTCGTTCACTCGCACCAGTCTGATGTGACGCGGGCGGGACCAGCCCAAGAAACTCCAAATGACGAGTGCAAATTTTGCTTGTTGCTTTGGTGCAAATGATTCCAAGTATGTTGGTCGCATATTCACATGAATCGATGATTAACTTGGGCAAACCAACGGCGACTTTTACTTGCTCACTTCTTTCTTGACGAAAACAGCAAAACGTTGCTTGGCCGCACGTTTTTGAGACACTTTGATGCCGTCAAGAAGATGCGGAGCTGACTTGGCCGTGTCGTTGGCAGGAATGGATCCAAATCAAGACTCGTTCGGCTCCCTTTTGACCCCAACAGGCTTCCGCCAATAATATCGAACTTCACACTTTGTGAGCGGGTTATCGTCTCAAATGTTTCAATCTTGGGGCGACATCAATGCCGCACGGCTCCCGCGGAGGGGAGAGGCGCAGTTTGGCGACGCTTCTCAGACACACGGAGAGTTTTCTTCTCGAGCTTTTGTCAAGCCTTGAAAATTGGTTTATCACATGCGAGGAAAACGGACGACTTGGGGACACCCGATTTGACCCTGTTTGGGCGCGTGACGTTGCCGCCTGACATTGACGCGGCAGAAAGTCTTCCGGGTTGCGTTTTTATGTCTTGAAACGAGAAGACAACTCCACTTTCTCCTCACGTATCACTTTTTGCGTGCGCGGCGCCAACGTGGCCGACTCGTTTTATTCTTGCCTTGCTCTTGTGGCCCCCCGTCGACAGATCGGGCCCAAGTGGAAGGACGTGGTGTCGCGCTGCATCAAGGGCCACTACCAGCCCCTCCTGCTGCTGTACGCCGACCCCCGCGGCACGCCGGTGCCGTCCCAGGACTCGGCGCCGCAGCATCGCGCCAACAAGCCGTGCTACGACAGCGAGGACTCGGGTAACTACAACACAGCTAGGAGTCGTAGTAGTAGCACAGCCGCAGAACAGCAGGTAACTACGCTGGGAGGAGCGCTTACCCGTCTTGTAGTAGTCGTAGTCGTAGCAAACCCGTCGCTTGTCGTAGGGTTGGGCGATGAATTGATTTTCGTGTGCAATCGCCACGAGAGGGTGGAACTTGTTGTTGTCTGCGTGGTACCCCGCAGAGTGGCCATTCGAAAGCCACACACGCTTGGTCTTTCAGTCAAACATTGCTTTTGATGATTTGAAACGAGATGGATACGTCATTTATCCATCCGCAAGCGAAAATCACTTGACAGAGTTTGTGGAAGGCAATATCGCCCAGCCCTACATTGGACTTATTTTCGTAGTGCGCAGCAAAATGTCCACAGCCGTGACTTTCGCCCCTGCTAGATTGCGCTTTTTTTTATTCATTGAAAACAATCATTTATTTTTATTTATTTCGCAGTATATTTCCTACTTTTAATGCCCTCGCATTTGGGAAAGGAGAGGCACAGATTCTTAACCGGCGGGATAACGGCGCAACACGCACCAAGCGAGCGCACTCATTCCGGGGCCTCTGTTGACCGCGGCTCGCGCCCAAACGCTCACACACAGACGGTGCGACGTCAGACGCCGCCCCCCAGCAGGCCCCGCCTTTGAATGTTTTCGCTGAGCTCGTTGCCGTGCTCGCAATGACCATCGACGACTTGAAAGCGCATTTCCAACACGCGGCGCCTGTAGTACGCAGCTTGTTTGGGTTTTTTCATACGTCTTACGCTTTCACTTCATTTCTTTTGTGTTCAAATGTGTTTGATGAACAAAGTGGAAATGTGCTTGAGGTGTGTGGGAGGGGGGCACTTTTATTTTTCTCCTCTTTCGGCTTTGTGTGTAACGTATCGTCTCAATAAATGGGCGTTTCTTGAACTTGTGCGAGCTTGAGCTGGAACCCGCTAACCTAAATGCCCCCCCCCCCCCACACACCCCTTAATTCTGCCCCCTCAGGCCGCGAGCCGTCCATCTCCAGCGACACTCGCACGGACTCATCCACGGAGAGCACCTCCTCCCGACAGCCCGCGCCTTCGCACCATGAGCCCCCGGCCTCTCAACGCCCCCCAGACCCACCCGCAGGCGCCGTCCGCCCCCGACGCCCCGTCGCGCCGCGCCACGCCTCGCTCTGCAGTCTGGATGCCATAGGTGGGCCATTCACTTGGAGCCCGCCGGTGCGGCTCGGCGCAAATCACCGCTCGCCGGCGTCACCTCATTTCTTTTGTTCTTTTTCGAATGTATGCGGTAAACGCCGCGTTGCCGTGCTTGTCGTCGCCAAGGCCACGCGGCGGACGCCGAGCGGCGGCAGACTCTGAGGACGGGAGGCCCGGCCCCGGCTCGGGACAGGAGGCGCGGCTCCAGCCGCCTCCGCAGAGCCAAAGCGGACAACGAAGCCCCTTCGGCCGGTTACCACAGCGAGGGTACGCTGCGGGATTTCTAGCGCTGAGCGCGTCCGCCTCGCCGTGCGGAGGGCGTGGGTTCGAATCCGGCCCCGGTCGTCCTGCGCGGAGCTTGCATGCTCTCCCGGTGCTTGCGTGGGTTTTCTCTCGATACTCCAGTTTCCTTCCACGGTAGCAAATCGTGCATTTTAGTTTCGGCGAACACTTTCCCCTTTTTTTTCCCCCCTTGTGTTTTTTTTTTTTGCAGTTGTGCTCATAAGTTGGCAAAGTGCCATCAAATTTCTGGAATATTGAGAATTTGGGGCGGGGGGTGCGCGCGAACGGAGGCCATGTCATTTTCTTTGCGGCCGTGCTTTGTTTCGAGGTTGTGCTCTTCTGAACTGACTTGTAAGTCAACTCTGCGCTTTGCCCGCAAGCTCACCATTTTACAAATTCTGATCAGAATGATTGTATAACTGGTGCTGTTTTCCATGCGTTCGGATTTCAAATGGAATGAATCTGAAATCTCGCAGCTCTAATGGGAAAAGTGGAGCCGTTTTCCATCATCAGCCATGCGCACATCTGACATTTCAGTTCTGTTAATGAACATGCCGTCGTCCTTCTCCTGTCAGCGACTGGACCTCACCTCCTCTTGTCCTCCCTCAGGAGAGACACTGAAGGAGCGGCAGGTCCCTCGCCAGGCCCCCATATCCTCCTCCTCAAGCAGCCGTCTCCGTGACTTGAGGGAAAGCATGAGCAACATGCTCCACAGCCGAACCCTCTCCACCTCCTCTCTGCCGGCCGCCGGCATCGTCTCCTCCGGTACCCGGGCACCCGCCGCATCGTCGTCCTCCTCCTCCAACCCTCGCGACCGGGAGGCCGACAGCACCGGCAGCGACCCCAAATCCAGCTCTGCGGGGGCCGCGGCCTCGGGGAAGTACCGGCCGGCGTGGAGGCCCCGCAGGGAGGCGCTCAACATCGACAGCATCTTCACGCGGCGCAGGCAGGGCGGCTACAGCCCGCTGGCCACCCCCCAGACGGGCCACGCCAGGACCCCTGTTGTCGCCGCCGCCACCTCAGAGGAGGAGCGAGGCGCCGCCTTGCTGAGCCAGCAGGAGGTGACGGCGAGCTCCTCCAGGACGCTCCCCGCCGCCGCCTCCTCCCCCAGGGAAGCTTACGCGATTAGAGGGCAGCCGCCGCCACCTCCGGGGCTGATCCAGAGGATGGAGAGCGGATACGAGAGCAGCGACAGGAACAGCAGCAGCCCCGTCAGCCTGGAGCTCAACTCGCTGGAGCGGTGAGACCAGTCGCGCCGTTTTTCTTCTTCTTTGTGCTCCACACGCTGACCTCACCTTGCTCGGTGTGGTGGACGCAAGAGGCATTTCCCAGAAACACAAGAAAGTGGGCGCGGGGGGGGAACACAGTCATATTTGCGGTTTTCTGTTTTGATGTCTTCATTTAAACAGCTGAAGTCATTCAGATCATGACGATAAATACCAAACAAGTACAAATTAACGGCAAGGTAGACCACTTTGAATCAACACATGGAAAGTAGCGAGTCAGTGTGAAGATGATTTAGCCTCTTGTTGTTCCAAGTCACAGTGAGGCTGGAAAACTCTCACACCGACTCAAGTTTGAGCAGCAGCAGTGGAATCATCAAACTTTGCTGTGAATTTGCAACCTTTTCCCTTTTTTTTTTTTTTTTTTTGAAAGCCGACTTTGGAAACATGCTTCCATGTTATCTGCAGGGAGAGTGTGGCCGGGCAGCCATCATCTTCCGGACCGTCGTGCAAGAACGCGAGATCCAAGAGTGACGGAGCACTGCTGCAGGACGTCAGCTCGGCCACTAGAGGGGGCGCCGGTACGTTGAACGAGGCAACAGCGGCGGTCGCTTCCTATTTGCGGGGCGAGTGAATCGGAAAAAAAAATCATTAACCGCGCCCCGAAAAAGGCTGAAGATGGCAACAAACCACTTTTGGGGCTGACTGGGCTTGACGAAACGAAGCACTTCCCTCACGTCAACTTTGCTCCTCGGCACCAAGATGCCACAAGAGGGCGACAAAGCAATACTTTTGGTGTCAGACAGGCCATCGGTTTTTCATCTTATTCCAAGAGTGGAAACGCTGATTTTCACATTGTCCGTCTGCCTGTTTCAAAGAGTGTCATTGTTTTTCTTTTTCTGCCCATTGCGCGCGTGTGCGAACAGCACCGCCCGCAGGCCGCAGCGAACTGGACGAGCTTCAGGACGAGGTGCTGAGGAGGGCCCGAGAGGAGGAGCGCCTGCGGCAGCAGGAGAAGGACAGGGAGGCCAAGCTCGAGTTCAACCCCAGACCCAGCAAGTACCTGGACCTGGACCAGCTGCAGATCCAGGGCACGTATGCACGCACGCACGCACTCGCTACAATTCAACTTGTGTGTGGAATGTTTGTCATTGAGCGGCCGAAAAGGACAAAAGCGAGAATGTGACATGTGGTGACCTCGTTTGTGTTGCCAGCTTTTTTTTTTTTTTGGTTTTTGTTTCTCTCATGCACAAACACGTGACGATCCGATCACGTTGACCTTCCCATACTCAAAATGCAGTGATCAGAAAAATACACAAACCCTTTGGAATGACCTAGATTTTTGCACAGGTTGGTCATAAAATGTGTGACGTGAGCTAAACGCTTTTCCCCCATGTCGGTGCGTTTGGAAAGTTTCCATATTTTCAGCCCCTAAATTTGCTGAACAACAGCTGTGGATACTTGGGTATTTATACGTGTGATTTTCATTTTTATGACATCTGCGTTTTCTCCCGGTGTGACCGTTGAGGATCCACGTTAGAATAAGGCGTATCTCAAGGCGCGTGTTTTGGCCTCCCCAGGCAAAGGCGACAATCTCGATCGGTGCCTGTCGGAGGCGGAGCTTCTGCTGGACCAGTCGGTGCGTCTGGAGAAGGCGGGCGAAGTCGCCGCCGCCCTCTCGGCCGTCAACGAAGCCATCTGTAAGACCCTCCTCATCTTCTATCTTCTCTCGCATAAGCTAACGAGGTCACGAGAGCGAGCGCCACCCACCAAATATTTTGCACATCAGTTCCATCACTTGCTGAAATCGTCCGCTATTTTCAAGCACGGGCTTGAGTTGTTGCCTTATTGCCGTGGCGCCATCTCTATGTCAAGCCGCTGAGTTGACCCGCGCACGTTGCTTCTGAACATAAGTAGCGCTCTGCTGCCATTTTATGACATTGACAGGCAATTGAAAACATTTTTTTTTTCTTTGAAGAGGGGTAAGTGTTTCAATTTCTCACAGATTTTCACGATGCGATTCACAGAGGATGACATTTTTTGTGAAATACTTTGAGACTTTGGTTGCATTTTTTTGTTTTGTTTTTAAATAAATGCAAAACAAGCTGCAGCACAGCTTTTTGTTTCCGTCAGCACATTCTTTTCACCATTTTCAGACTCCTTATTTGACCACACAGAGCCCCAAAATGTCAGTCTTTACTTTTGCCTTCCTTTGTGCATGCAATCATTTTAGTTTTTGCATGTTTGTTTTCTTGTTTTTGGTTTTGCGGTTGGTGCCGCTCGTATAGCTAAGCTCAGGCTGGCGAGTGAGGGCGGCTCTTGCGGTCACGGTCGACTGCAGCGTGGCATGAGGAGAGCGCGCGGCAGGCAGCAGCGGCTGCTGTTGTTGCAGCAGCAGTACCATCATCCTCCTCATCATCCTCATCATCATCATCATCATCATGACCAGCAGCAGCTGCCCAGGTACGCCGAGGTCTGCTCGGCCAATCGTGAGTCAGCAGGCAACAGAAAAAGGGAAGGCGAGGACTTAAATTTGTTCGCTCTGCAGCTTCAAACAAACATGCGCACACGCACGCGTAAGCCTCCTTCTGACTTCGAGGCGTAGCGGCAGACTCACTCATTCACCCTGTCACATGTTCTCACGGGTCTGCATGTGTGTGTGTGTGTGTGTGTGTGCGCACGTCTCCGCAGTGAAAAGCCTGTCTCGCACCAAATATTTCTGACGGACACTTGTGACGACCAATCAGCGTCCAGCCAAGACCGGCAGGGCCCGCCCCT